AGAGTAACCAAGTTTGTTCAGCAGTAAGCACGGAGGCCAAGTACTCCAAGGACTGCTTCCAAAGGCGAGGTAAAGCTCAGAAGTAACTCATTAAGGAATTTTCAAAAGAATAATAAAAAGATGTTGCCTTTGTTGCTTGCAATCACCAGATCCGAGCCACTCCGTGGAAGCCTGCCACTGAGCAGCTAGGAACTGCAAGAGAAGTGACAGACAGCTCTGTCGCATGCTCTTCAGCGACTGCTTCCAACCCAGCCTGCACAAAGGCTTTACCAGTTTGAGCCTTGTGGTGTAGGGCAAGGGAAGAGTAGGAGAACGCTTTAAGCAAAAGCCTACTCTAGCAAAATTTGAGTTATGGGCAGTAATTCTGACTTTCAGCTATCAGCATTTTTGACCTGATGTTTTTATGCTGAAGAACAGGCATATGCACTTGTACAGCACGGTGTCTGGGTCCAACTCAGGACAGAGGTGGTACATTCAGTCCATAACTACCCTGTATTAACCGACCAGCAGATACTAAATGGGCTACAGCTTCCCAAACCCACGCTTCTCCGACATCAAGGCTGTGCAGCCGAAGACTTCTAATTTAAAACTACTCTTGCTTTCCAGAATTAAACTGCTCTACCATCCTGCTTCTCAGGACAGAGTTCCCCTCTCAGCTATACGCAGCCAGCAAAAACACATCCCATGGCTCCCATGAAGGGACCTAAGACAGAGGAGACTTGAGAAACTTCTCCCGGCTCTCCACAGAAAACCCAGTTCCCAGTTAAATGAGGGCAAACTGCTAGAGCCTTGAGGTCCAGAATAACATTCAGCTGGAACACTTTCCAAGCCCTGGGGGCCAAGATCAGCTCTTTGGCACGTACCTGAAGGTGGTGCTGGTGAACAGAATCTGTTTGTGGACCCCACAGCAGAGATGCCATCCCCTGCAGCCTGCGGAGGGGTGAGAGCCCTCGTGGCGGTCAGAGGGGAGCCCATCGACCGCAGGTCTGCCGTCAGCGGCGGTCCTATCTGCGTCTGCACATTCTTTCTTTGCAAAGTGCTGGTGGTCTCCAGGCTGGCACAGGAGCTCGATATGGACGTAGGCATACTTGTGACCGGCACAGAACCCCTTTGTGCACAAGAAACGGGTCCTGCTACGTTCTCCGTTTTGACAATGGTTCCAATGGTGTGATTCAGAAGTCCACAAGTGGCTGGGGGCGTGAGGGGCCGAGGCCACGTTTGCCGATGAGACAAAACGGGTATTGTGTTACCGGATCCGATTAGCCTCTGGGAGTCAGTCAACTGCGCTGAAGATTCAGATGAAACGCCGTAGAAATGAGGACCGTTGACTTTAATGTCAGAGGCTGTCGGCCCGTTCGAAGTCCCGCAAGAAGACCCCTTCTTGGATTTATCTATACAAGAGCTGCAGTTGACATCTTCCTGTGACAAAGTCTGCTGGGATTGCGAGGAGCTCAAGGAATTCTGGGTGGTAATCCCTGAGGTGCAGGATGACATGGAATAGAGGGAAGGTGTGGGTGCCTTGTCAGCTGCCTGGTAAGGGTTGGCGAGTGAGCCGTCTGCCACAATAACAGGCTTAATATCAGCCTTCTCTGTTTGTTCAGAGTCCCAAAGCGAAGTCATCTGCTTAGCAGATAAATGTTTCAATATGCTGCACTGGAGCGCAACAACACTACAGAGCCACTGGGAGGAAGAAAGAAGCGCAGGTTAGCTCCACAGGCAGAGAGTGCTCCAAACCTCAACAGTTACTCCACCGTTTACCCGGCTCGAAGAACCTGAGCTGCCTCACTGTGCTGCTGAGCGCTCAGGTGCAGCCTTGAATTACAGGAGAAGGTTTTGCCCAGAAGTACAAAAGCGCAACCAAAATTAAATACTGTTTATCTCCATGCCGGGGACAGTACACAGAGGAGCTGAGATTAAAGGAGGGAGAAGGCAGTTGATGCACTTCCTCACCCCCAAACTCTTCCTCCTCTTCGCTTGTTAAGCGTTGCAACTCTTCAGCTATTCACAAACGCATCTTTCACTAACACGGGCTTCTATCCAAACACAACCCTCCAACTTACTCTGTAGCACGCTGGGAAGAAATGCTGATCTACCTCACGCTACAGGGAGTCACCTGCCAAAGCTGGGGAGGAGAGCACCTTTCCTGTTACACAAGGCAGAGGAAGACCCAAAGATTTATTTGAAGTTTTAAGCTCCGTGGTGAATGCACACCTGGCACATCGAGGAACCCTGCCTGAGCTAACAGAAGGACTGAACTACACCACCGACTGCAAAGCAACATGCCTTTGTGTTGTGGAACCTGGCAAGAAGTTTCATACAAGATTTAAACACCCATTTGACCTTGATTTTAAAAGCCCAATTCTATTGGCAATTAAAAGCAGCCCAGAAATGTGACATTAACATACAAATAAACATGTCAGAGAGCAGGTTACATAATCAAAGTGGAAAATATTTCCCCACAGCAGGGAAATAAAAGATGACATCTAGACAGAGAGCCTTTGACTTCACTCCTAAGGCCAGAGGACTATTTCACCCCTCCCCTGAAGTGTCAAGAGTTTTACATTTCACCTGGAAAGCCAAAATGAAGTTTTAACGGGCAAGGGTGTCAGAGACAAGACAAGCTATCACCTTCAGGCATGATTTTGAGCCTGGTTTCCTAGACAACTGCTCTGATCATGACGGAAATGGAAGACGACCAAAGCAACTACAGACATGGAGTCCAAGCATTTGACTTCATTTACCTCCTGTTGTTCTGTCTGGCTGGCTAAGTGCTCAGTGTTCAAAAGGTGCTTCTGCAAGGGTTCCTCAGGGATCCCGTTACAGATCAGCTCGCCATCTCTAATTGCTGCAGGTGCAAGTAACGGGGGTGGAAGCCGGTACTGGGACTTTATAGCATCAGGAACCTACATTGCAGAGAAAGAAGATCACACATGAGAAAAATTACTCAAGAATGACTAGTTAAACAAAGTGCCTAACCAGCACTGCGCTTCATGTTCGCTGCTTTCTGACCCAAAGGAACCCTGCAGACAATACATTAGAAGTTTCAAGGGCTGAGTACTTTAAATTGATGCAGCTAGGCTGAATTAATAGGTTTTTATTCCCTTAGGTCAGGCATGACTTCAGCACAACGTGGTGGCTGCAGCATGAATGTAGTCATGCAAAAAAGGCCAAGTAAGAAGGGAAACCTGTATGGCATTTTTCAGGCATTCTGGCAGCAAATACTCTTTGGGATTTAACAGAGAACATGCAACAGCCCCAATTCTGACTGTAAGGCCACCTTCAGGAGGTTTTGTGTTGCACTTTCTACGCTTGTGCTATATTTAAAGGCTCACTTGTAATATCTGAGCCTTAGGGTTGGCAAAAAAAAAAA